TTCTCTCTGAATCGGTATTGAAATAATATCCCTGTTCTCTGGAAGTGCCCTCTTTTGGGCGAAATAGAGAACCAATGTCTTGTCCTCACATGGGTTCCAGTTCTCCTCTGCCCACACCCAGTTTAGACATTTGCATGCTGCAAAGTGAGTGCAAAGGTGTGTGCTAATGCTACTAGATCACAACTGGAGCATTTTACACGAACATTTGAACGGTGCAAAGACTAAACAAGGTGCCGGGCAACAGCAAATTGGACCAGTGGTCATTAAAGTTCCAATGGCACTTTTTGCAAGAGTAGGAGCCATAAGCCTTCGTGTCCTGACCAAATTCTTCTAACTGTTATATCGTAACTAGCTAAACCTCCCCTCCAATTTCAGTTATACTTTCTAGCCTAAACTCTATTGTGTCATTGCAATATGCTGTCAGACAGCTGACATGTTCCATCCCGAGGTGGCAGCAATTCAGTTGTGGTCATGCAATCGCTATCCAAAATGCATAGCATGCTTTGTAATATTTGAATAAAATAAGAAAATGAATGTGTGATATCATTATTAAGAGGAGTAGGGTCTGATTCTGACCTCATTTACGTTAGTGTAAATCAACAGCAACTCTCCTGAAGTTAATGGAGTAACGCTGGTGTACAAAAGGTGGAACAGCGGAGAATCAGGGCCATTGTGTCAGGCTAGTGTTGTGCAGCAGATTGATGGCACGGCCACTAGATGTCACTCCGTTTTAAGATTGTGATTGAAAATTTTAGATTTTTTCTCATTGACATGTACTTGAGGGGGGGTGGGGTGTCTGTAAAATTTGCAGCATTTCCTGCATTCACGGTAGATCTTCTCTGTGTGGTTTTGGTAACAGGCATACCAAATATTGCATGTTTCATCAGATGAATGTATAGTGAATGCTAATTGTTGTGAAGCATCATACAAATATTTATGCTCTGTGAAATTAAGTTTATTGGAAAATAAATCAAGGTGGCATGTTGACCCTTTCATCTGTGGAAAACTAAAGAGAACTGACATACATTTGGAGATATTATTAACAGGAGCATCATAGGTGAGACACAGAAGATAACTGTCCTGCTCTACTCAGCACTGGTAAGGCCTCAACTGGACTATTGTGTCCAATTTGGGAAAGATGTGGACAATTTAGAGAGAGTCCATGGGAGAGTAACCAAAATGATAACATTTATATAAAACTTCGCCTATGAGGAAAGGTTTAAAAAATGGGGCATGTTTAGTCTTGGGAAAAGAAGACTGAGGAGGGACCAGATAGTCTTCAAATATGTTAAGGGAGGTTATAAAGAGGACAGTGATCAATTGTTCTCCATGTCCACTGAATGTAGGATCAGAAGTAATGGGCTTAATCTGCAGCAAGGGAGATTTAGGTTAGATATAAGGCAATCTTTCTAACTGTAAGGATAATTAAGTACTGGAATAGGTTACCAAGGGAGGTTGTGGAACCCCAACATTGGGTGTCTTTAAGAACAAGTTAGGCAAACGCCTGTCAGTGATAGCCTAGGTATATTGGTCCTGCCACTGCATTGGGGGGCGGGGAGAGGAGCTCTTAAGGTCTCTTCCAACCTTACATTTCTGTGATATACAAACTGAGGGTGACTTTAATATTCTTTACATGAACATTGAAATTGGCTTCTCGTAAAAGAGTTGCTGGGCTTTTTGATCATTAAGGCCCCAATGAGCAAAGCTCTTACGCATGTACATAACTGTAAGTATGTGAGTGGCTGTACTGAAGTCATGTTGGATCAGGGACTTAACGGAAGTTCTTGCTCTCTTCTGAAAAGTGTTACATCTGCTGTTCCATGGTATAGTATCTGAACAGCAACAAACGCTCTAGAATTGCCTTCTCATTAATCCTGAGGATATATCTCCCTATTCCTTTGTTCACAGAGGTTTCTAGATGCAGCAATTAGAAACTGAAGCCAAATTCTTTGCTGAGCCAACCCAGGGGGAAGCTTTAAGCCACCTTTGAACCCTCCTGATTCAAAGTTTCTCCTGCAGCAAAAGCAGCTCCCAGCATAACTGTTGCTTTCTCCTCCTCAGTGCTGCTTGTGGCACGAGTCAGAATGGCTATAACAGTATGTGCTATGCCCGGTCTCTTCCGACTCCCTGGTTCCACCCTGAACATGCCTCCTACACCGGGGCTTGCTGCAGACAGGAGCAAGTATAGGGAGCAGAATCTCTCTTTGGGTTTTGGGGTTGTTTGGTTTTAAGGATTTTTTTCCCCTTGACCAAGGGGTTTATATTACACTCCCAAGGGTCCATTCGCGTGAATTGTTTTTTGTTATCTTTGTATGCTACATTTTTCCTGGTCTTGGTAATAGCATCTGTGTATAAATGCACTGCACTGTGTGGGCCCAATCTTGCACATTTAAAACAGGTGAGTAGTCCTGTTGGACAACTCAGGTGAGTAAAGTTATATATGTGCATCAGTATTTGCAAGATTGGGACTTTAGGCCCTGAGCTTGAGATGAGTTCCACACAGGTGACTCTAGGCCCCAATCTTGTAAAGACTTATGTATGTGTTTATCTTTAAACATGGCAGTAGCCTGGGACTACTCACCTGTGTAAGTATTTGCAGGTTGGCGGAGTGTCTTTTTTTGTAATTTTATTGCAAAATATCCATTATATATAGTTTAAAGTATTTTTTGTTCTAAAGCATATTTTCTCTATTTCATTTTCACCTGGTGTTGAAAGACATTTTAGGTTTTAACTCTTTCCAGTCTTTAAAAATGTTATGTACATTTACATAGAAAATGTTACCTATTTGTTCAAGGAATATTCCATTATTTCCTTCTCTCTCTAATGCAGAGTGCAAACTACAGTTTAGCTTTGGTTGATTCCTTTGTACACCTCCACCTCTAATCTTCTTCAAACTGATTGTCCCTTTGCCCTTTTCTAGGCCTGCATAACAATGCAGGACCTAAAATGAACAGAGTAAAAAGGGCTATAAATATAATCCTGAAACAGCACCGTCACTGCAACAATAGTTTGCTTTCACGGCTAAGAAAAAGGAACCGATAGTCCTCTTTATGAGCTGTCTGTTACTAGAAGGAGTGGTATTTCTGTCCGGGTGTTTCAGTGAGTTAAATAGGAGATGGCAGATGGTGTGGAGAAGACTCAGAGATAGCCACAGAGCTAGATGGGAAGTATAGCTTGAGCTAAAGGTCTTTGTTAAGTGCAGGGAGAGACAGACATGGCTGGGAAAATGGAAGAACTTAAAACAAGCACTGTATGATGATTATTTGCCTACATAAAGACACTACTGAAGGGGTCACTTGCAAATTTTGAACATGGGATCTTTAGATCAAGCCTGAGCCTCTTACTGCTTGAGCCATACAGATGTGTGTAAAGACTGATACTCATGACTTCACCAAGTCCCAATCTAATACCTATTGAAGTGTCAGTAGAAAGACGCCTGCTAACTTCAATGGGCTTTGGATCAGGCTCCAAATGCGTTAACCAGGTTGAACTCATGTTAAAGTTTACTTTTTTGAGAGGCAATTTGTTTCTATGGACACGAGCAGCATCTAGGGACCTGTGACTGTCCAGAGATTAGCCCCACAACTGAAGTGCTGGTGTTAATACAACCACTGCAACTTGGGGTGCTGCCCTCCTGAAGCAGCACGCCTAGAGGAGACCTGCTAACATCCCCAACATGGGACACCTGCAGTGACGTGCAGGGAACCTCGGGGGCCATTGCTGGGGCAAGATGCAGAGAATCCGGTGAGCCATGGAAAAGACGCATTAAGTCCTGCAGCCGAGGGAGACTTCACTTCAGGCTCTTGGACTCGGAGAGGGGATTTTTCAGAAGGGCTCACACCACCCACCGGAGGGGGGAGGCGCAGGTTTTCCAGGGGACTCCCCTCCCCTTTCGGCACCCAGATGCGGGGCCAGATTCTGAAAATCTTTAGGTAGCTAAACGGGAACGGAGCTCTTTTGCAAATCGGCTCCCCAATGCCTGAACAAAGGATGCCGCAGTCTTTGCTGGTCTAAGGCACAGGGGGCCGGGAGGTTTCGGAACCGATGATGGGGGGCAGAGATTAAAGAGGCGGACCCGGTTTCACCCCCCCCCCCATGGCCCCTTAGCCTCAGGTAGCTCAGGGACCCCCCCACCAATTCGCCATCTGCAACCCCGGCTCCCGTGCACGCTCCGCGGGGGCAGAGCGGGCAGGGCTGGGGCCATGCACCCGCCTGCCTGCGCTGCCCCCCA